GAGAATTTTTCTTGAAATCGTGATTTCAATTTATTGGTTGGTATCTCTAATAGTCTCCAGATTCTTGTTTTTTCGTTATTAATTTCTTCTTTTTATACATGGGGCTCGACTATTTTCAGATTTTAACAACTGAACTATTAATCTAATCACTTGCGACTTGACTGTTTGGCATCATTATAACGAACAAATTTTATTATTTTGAATAAAATTAAATCTATACCATAATAGATTAATAGATGTTGTAATGCAATTTCGAATATATTATTATATCTTACAAAAATTCATATCTACAATATCGGCATAAACCCGGATATATATATATCATGTGATTTAATCGCTATCATTCATAGATTATGATTGGATAATTATCACATGGATGTTGATCATTTGTTTGTTTTTGCATGCACGCGAATGATATAAATTGGGAAAAATACAAACTGTTTCTCTTTTATTCTTTATTCTTTATTTTTCTTTTTACTTTAAGTATTATCTCAAATATTGCACTTATTTATTTATTTCATTTTTTTATAGAAGAAAATTTTAAACGATACCAAATAAAAGGTTGCCTAATAGATATAGAAAGAAATACATTTCACAAAAAGAAAATATTTAACGTTTATGAAGTAATATTTTTTTAAACTTAAATATAATTAATTGTATTATTCTTTATTACTAATTTTTTATCTTGTCTTTTTGAACTTTTCTAAAATAGATTTATTTATAATTTAATAAAATAGGTACAGTTACTTTTATTTTCGGTCTTTATTGCTATTAATTGTATCGCTACTAATTTTTTATCATTACTAATTTTCTTCTTTTTATCACTATTAATTTTTCTTCTTTTTATCACTACTAATCATATCGGCTGATCAAAAAAATTGGGCCTGATCGCAGGACCACATTTTTGTTATGTGTTACTTAAATCATATGTTTTTAGTGGCTTAGAAGTACAGACGATCCCCAAATGTCTCCTCTAAATTTAACAACTCCCCGAATAAAAAATATTTTAATATGTAATAAAGTAAGAAACCGATAAAAAAAAAAGGAACCGATCAAAAATTACGAGTAAGAAATAATATAAATTTTATTGTAATTTTCTTTTTTATTTTAAAAAAACGCGTCCAATATTATAGTATTTGTTTAACAATAAACTTTAAAACTTTATTTGTAGACAATTGCCGACATACCTATGTCTAAACCATCAACTAACACGTTTTGCAACAAGTTTGAATTTGAAATATGTGGAAAAATCTATAAAAGGCATTCTGGTTTAGCTAATCATAAAATAACAATTAAAGATGCTAATGTTATGAAGCCAACCGCGTACGATTTACCTGAAAAAGCTATTGAAGAAATGTGACGAATTTTGGTTTATCATATAAAGGAGAGACTGAAACAAAGTTCAAAACATGCTGGGAGTGTGCGAATTATGATTAGTTGTACAGAAAGTCAATTTTTTGGTGTTTTTAAAGGATATATACATAATTATTATCCAAAAACAGGAAATTATAAGTGTATTTTTAAAGGTATTAATTTTTATTCTACATTATCAAAAGTATTGGGAGACGATAATTGGGGTGTCAAATATTTTTTGCAACACCAAAAGACATTTGTTTTATCATATCAACAACCATCAAATCCAAATGATCCAGATCCTCTTCTGGAATTAAATTTATGTCAAGAACCCGATCCTCTTCAAAAACAAAATCAAGTAAAAATATATAAAGCTAAAAAATGCCGAATCTGCAAACTTAAACCCATACAAATCATTATTGGCTGGAAAAGAAAAGAAAAATCAGATGTACGAAATATTGTATATTCATCAGGATTTATCTTTATAAACTTTACAATTTCACGTATGAGAGATATAGAAAACTTATATTAAAAATAGAAGGGTTGAAAATCATGTAAATATAAGTGGCAAAAATAAGATCAAATTTTATTATGAAATTTGTAAATAATACATTGAAAAAAAAATGAAAAAGCATATATTTCTATTACAAATACTACTTGATACGCAAACGTTTTGATAATCGAATTAAATCAACCATATTATGATTATTAAAATATAAAACTCTATTTTCGTATTCAAGAATATTTACAATTGCAGATTTTCTTCCTTTTCTGACACCACCATCTTTTGTTGTTTTTTAAAAAAATGAGAAACTTGTTGGTGATTTTTTTTTTCAACTGCCGAACAAGAAAATGCTGCTAAACCAAATTTTTGATGAATACGCATCATTTCTGGAACGTGATAAACTAATACATGCATATAAGGTGTAATATCACCCGCTTGATAAAAATAATTAGAATCTAAAAATTGGTGTAACCATGCACGTGCATCATCAGAAAATTGGTTCGCATCAGTTTTTTGATCTTTCATTGCTTTATGAAGTAAATAAAAATTATCCCACAAATTTCGGATTTGAGTTGCTCGTGAATTTGGAAAAAGTTTAGTTAAATCAAAATGCTGAAGTACAATTAATTTATCTTGCCCCATTAAAGAAGTATATTGCCAATTTGTCGATCCTACTTCAAGCCAAAAATGAAATTTAACATCAACACGTTTCATTTCTTCAACTATTACATTTCTTGCTCTATCTCCCCAAGTATTTCTGAATTTGAGTTCATCAATCACAAGCCGCCAAAGAACATCTGTTATA